TTTTTGAGTACATCTCTTCTTTTCTCATGTGTTTTTTTTTTAAGTTACAGTGTTTTTCGAAGCCTATAGGAAATCAGATCATTTAACATGTAAAACAATCAAATTCATTGAACATTTTGACTTATCTTTACTTCTGTTTTATGTCTTTTCACTTAAACTGCTTATTCATCTCTAGTCAATTCCGTTGTCTTGTTCAAGACACATTGGCAAATGTAACTAGTATCAATCTTCAATCATTTTGGTCAACATTGAATAATGCAACATTGATTAGTTTAGGTAAACGTCTTGGTCAAGTGAATTTAACTGCTAAAGTAGTTGCAGAATATTATACAACTGGTCAATCATTAGTTGCACCAATCACTTTATTACGTCGTCAAGTTAGAGAAGAGGAACAGGAAGGAGAAGAACAAGAAAAACAAGAACGCGGCAGACAAAACCAAGCACAAATGACTCATCATAATGACCTTGAAAATCGATATGTCGTCACCACAGATAAACAACAACAACAACAACAGCAGCCTAATTTAACTAAACGTCGTTTCACTAAAAAAACACCTCAACTACATCATACATCATTTGCTGCACGTGTACGTAGTTATAGTTCAAATGCTGCTGCCCGACTACTTAGTCATGCAAAATTGTTGAATAATTCTAATTCTTCAAATAATGAAGATTTTCACCAAGTTGAAAATGAGTATAATGTTAATCAAAATTTCAATGATAGTATTTGCATAGAAGACACTATACAATCGGATGAATTTCAACAAAATGGTTATTTTGATTTGCCTGACTCACATTTACGACGTCTAGATATGTCATGGTGTGGAAATTATTCACAGGTAAGGCTTAATTAAATGTTTTTGTCTGTGATTAGTTATGCCATAAAACTATTGAAATATTATGCTGATTATGTACTCTGTAATTCTTAAGTGTGTGTGTGTGTACATATGTGCTTACATTGAAATAGCACGTGTCATACTACCGAAATGGTTAGTGCTATTTAGTATAGGTGCTGAAAATCTTGTCCATATATTTAAGTTAAATATTCCTTCCTTACGCCTGTTACTACTGCTCATGGAGCGTAGGCCCTTCGATTAGCAATCTCTAAACCACTTTTGTCCTGGGTCTGCCTTCCCAGTTCCAACCAGACAACTGTTAGTAAATACCTGTATCTTGTGTATGATGGCTTTCATGGTTCTCCGCTTCATACAATAGAACAACTATCTCGACGTTTGTTGTTGGTTGACAGGTAGTTTTTTAAGTTCCAGATTTTCTTCAACTGTAGTTTTATATCCATAAAGCGTCCAAAACTAACACTTGGGAAATAATTTTGTTCCAATCTAGCATAAAGGCCTTGATGCTATAGGACAGGTGACTAAACAGTCTTGGTAGAGGGAACAAAACTATCCAATCATTGGATGATAAGCTAGCAAGTGTGAGAGAAAGAGAGGAGACTTAACGACGAAAAAGCACATGAACAAACACATACTTTGCAAGACCACAACACAGAAGAATTTCGAAAAATACTAGCCGTTTAAGGTAGAAAATTGAATATGTGATCAAGCCTAAGGTACAATGATTTTGGAATAAAGCTTTCGCGCCCAAGACCGGAGGTCCTGGGTTCGACTCCTGTAAGTTTCAGGCATCGTGGATACGCACTGCCACCGATGAGTCAGTCCGAAACCAGGACGAAACGACCCTCTTTCAATGCTTCCAGGTTTTTTTTATAATGGTGGTCTAACAATGATTAATTGATGATTTCATTGTATAAAAAGCAAACTATGACAAAGAATCATAGTACATCAACCGAAAGCTTAAGATTTACTGTTACGCCTGCACATAAACACGTCAACTTGATATACTTGAACTATTACGAGTTTACCTAGTCGGAAAACGACAGCGAGGATCGAGGATCCGGTGACACGACATGCTACTCAATCCGATTATCCCAACCTCCATTGAATAAAAGGAGACTTGATATGAAGTAGAACCTGTATTCTACAAGCATTCAGAAAGTACAAGGTTCGAATCCAGAAGAGAACCAGGACCCCGGACTAGGGATCCGAGACCAGGTCCTGGTCATAGAACGTTACACATAATGCCTATTTAAACATTTAGGTTGAATAGGAAACAGCATCGAGGTCTGTGACATTAACAGTTAAGACGACCAGTAGGAAGCAACATTTGAAATGAGATTGATAGTCCGGATGACCAATAAGAAACAAGATTGGAGCACGTGATATTGATATCTAGGATGACCATAAAATTGACCAGTAAGAATTAACCAATAGGAATTGACCAATAATTCTCTTAGGATATTGGATGAATATCCTAACATTACCGAATAAGATTGGGACGAAAATAAACTATATTATTTCTTTTTAGCAAGGTAGAATTATCCATCTTCAAAAAAATAAGCCCTGATTATTTGTCACTATCTCTGTGTTTCCATTTTCACAACAATATTGAAAAAACAATCACTCATGTTGTGTATGCAACCAATGTCACTTGCACACTTGTCAACATAAACTGATTGAAATGTTTCTTTTTCCTCTCTATTTCCCCTCCCCCACCCATACAGATAACCCCAACATCATTTGGTCATTTTCTTAGTGATGCTTGTCGTTATTTAATTACATTACGTTTATCCAGTTGTAAATTTCTAAATGATGATTGCCTATTGCACATTGTCAATACTTGTCCATATTTAGAAGGTGAGTAAGCAATCAGTCAGTCATTGTATTTTTCATTATAATATTATGAAGATTGTTTTGTGTTTTACACAGTTGAAAATCATGAATGAATCACATTGTTGAACTGTGATTAGAAAGAAACTTGGAAGCTCTGAAAGACGGCTGTTTCGTCTATTCACCACTCTTGCTACTCGCAGGATTCGTTGAACCCTTCGGTTTTGCGCGCACGGATACAGAAAGCTCGATTGGCTTTTGCCAACCTGTGTCACTTATGGCGTAGGCGTGATATCCGTTCGCTAACCAAAGGACGGGTGTACTGCGCAGCAGTTCGTTCCGTTCTCCTATATGGCTGTGAAACATGGCCGGTAAGAGTAGAAGATGTTCGTAGGTTACTAGTATTCGATCATAGATGTTTAAGAAGCATTGCTCGTATATCGTGGGACAACGGAGCAAGCAATGCTGTCGTTAGGAAACGAGTACTAGGTAAGAATGGCAGATCAATCGATGAAGTGGTGAAACTTCATCAGTTGAGGCGGTTGGGACATTTGTTACGTATGGCTAACCACCGATTGCCTCGACGAGCTATGTCTTGTGGTGTAGGAGTAGGTTTGAAGAAAGTTAGCGGTGGCCAGACCAAAACATGGCATAAATGCATGAAGTCAGTGACAAGTGGACTGAGTCATGTTGGTAGATGTAGACTACCTGGTTGGTCTCCGCGAGATGTTAGTAATCGATGGTTAGAGACCTTGAACGACATGGCTCAAAATCGTTTGCAATAGCGCAAGTGCATCCATTCGTTGAGCTCTCTCTAATCCTAATCTTCTGGATTCTTCAGCACCCTTACCTTTGTCTTTCTAACCTTATCTCACTGAATTATATTTTTTGAATAATATCTTAAACCCTAGTCTTCTTTATTAACATTAATACCTCTACTATCTTTATCACTATGAGATTTGATTTGACATTTGCGTCTCTGTGCTAATAATGTGGTATGGCAACATGAACTTATGTACATACGTACGAAGTTCTACGTTGCAACTGACTGACTCTTTCGCGCAAACGCTTAACCTCTCTAGACCACTGCCGACCATCAATGATAATGTCTAATAACTCTAATCAGTCTAAGGATTTTGCGTAACCTCACCCTATTTGTCTTCGGTAGGTACTGCCTACACCCGACAGGATTAACCTCTATCGGTCACATCATCTCACTAGGACTGGGAGAATTCCCTCTCCAACCTAATCACTAACGAGCACATTTTTTTAATTTTGGAGATCGTTGATTTTTACACATTGAAATTATGAATAAAAAATTAGACAGTTATATAGTTGTGTACAAGTGTTGTCACTCAAATAATAACAAGGTATTGATTATTATTACATTCATGGTTGTTTGTTATATGTGTGTGTGTGTGCTTTTTTCAATACGAAGCGTATTTTCTATTATTGATCGGAAATAGTTCCAGTGGAGTTCTCAAACATTACTCACTCACTTATTGTTGTATTATTCTTAACTGTGACAAATCAGTCAGTCAGTCAGATGCAACGTAGAACTTCGTACGTAAGTACGTACCTCAGTTCATGTTGCTATACCACATCAGCACACAGAGATATAATTGTCAAATCAAATTCAATAGTAGTAGAGGTAGTAAGGGAATTAGAAGTAATCGGAGAGGTTAGGGTTAGAAGATACTATTCAACAAGTATGATTCAGTGAGAAAAGTTTAGAAAGTCAAAATTAGAGGTATTGAACAATCTAGAAGATTAGAATTTGAGAGAACACAAAGAATAAATGCATCGGCGCCATTGCGAACGATTTTGAGCCATGCCATTCAAGGTCTTCAACCATCGATGACTGTCATCTCGCGGACCCCAACCAGGAAGTCGACAACTACCGACATGACTCAGTTCACTAGTCAATGACTTTATGGATTTGTGCCATGTTTTGGTTTGGCCGCCCCTAACTTTCTTCCAACCTATTCCTACACCACAAAACAAAGTTCGTCGAGGCAGTTGGTGGTTAAACATGAGTAACACATGTTCCACTCACCTCAACTGATGAAGTTTTAGCACTTCATCTATTGATCTGCCATTCTTACCTAACACCCGTTTCCTAATAACAGCGTTTAACTGTGACAAATACAAAACATTAATCAGAATTTAACATCTTAGCCATCAAAAACCCCGTGAATCAGGTTTAAATCTCTACATAGTTCGTAACTCAATGTAACGAACGAACTGATTTGTTTCTAACCCATGCCTCTCTTTAAGTTCACTAAAGTTCATAGTATTCCGTGGTCAGCTTCTACAAAACTCGTTCTGTTTCGAGTTTATACATCGAACCATCCCGGACTACATCACACCATAGAATGTGAATATTTATTTGCACATAAGTAAGCCATAGAAAGTGGCTGTAAATCGATGAGGAGGAGAAGAAGAAAGTCTGTGAATGATAAATTGCCATAATTAGTTGTTGGATTAATCATAAACACACGAGGAAAAGGAATATAAATATGAAATAGTCTAGTTATTTACTGACTATACAATGAATATATATATATATATATATATATATATATATATATATATATATATATATATATTAGTAATAATCCGAAGTTTGTGCTGATGATGTTGTTTCAGAAGAACCACGAAAGCTCCACAACCGAAACATCAAGCTCAGAGAATGAAACACCACAACAATGATAATAATCCACCAGTTAAACATGGGAGTCATCACTTCTTATTCTGGATACAGCATTTATTGTTAAGTTGATTATATTGACTTTCTTCAAGTGTTCTACTTTCATCGGACCATAGTTGCTACATTGTGGTAGTCGGGCTTACCTATCGTGATCACCCCATCTAGCTATATTGGCTGGAACATATGTTCTTGTAGGTCCTACTGTGCCAGGCAGGTCGATTGGAGAACGATCAGACTAAAAGAAGCTACTCAAGGTCTGAGGGTTTAGTCGTACTGCTGACTGCAGAGGGATGTGACAGCAGTAAAGTGTTTCCCTTGGACAACCAACATCTGCAGCGATGCTGCTTTCTCACAAGGAAGGAAGGGTTAGAAAAGGTCGACCCTAAAAATGTCACACTTCACTTTACTTCACGGATTTCCGTCTCCGTCGGTAAGAGTTGCCCAATGAGGGCTTCCTAACGGGTGCAGCTAATACTCTAAACACCTTTCATAAAAAGGCCGTGTGTGACCGGCCTCAAACAGTTGTCCTTTGGGTTGTGCTGTCACGCTCGCAAATCTCTAAGACCAACGCTAATCTACTTTTATTTTCAAGTTCTTCAAGAAACACTCTTCCACGATGTGTGCAGCCGGGAAGTGACAACCGCTCTCATACACGTAACAACACACGAGACGGAATTGGTCACAATCAAATCTCTAATTTCTATTTAAAACTATAGATTTAAACTATTTTGTCAAGTAGTTTTGTCTTTTAAGCCTTGCTTTTATATCCCGGAATGATTGAGTAGGCAATGCAAGCTAAGGTTAGAAAAAGGGTACTAAGTAAATATCCTAACCGTAGGTGCTTCCATGACATGGCGGTTGGGAAGGAAGTCAATAATCTGTTTGTCGTGTAAATAAAAGTCTGACGACTAGGTGCACACATGTTAGTTGGTCAAATTTAAACTCCGAATACCCGACTATTCCATGTGGTGTTGCAGTAATCATTCATTACTCTAGTACGAAACTTATCAACACTACTTACTTAAGTACTTACGCCTGTCACCCCCCCCCCCAATGGCGCATAGGCCACCGACCAGTTTACTCCATCTTACTTTGTCCTGGGACACCCTTTTCAGTGCTGTCCGATTTTTGTTCAATCTTCTCATGTCCATCTCCATTTCTCGGCGTGATGTGTTTCTTGGCCTCCCTCCTTTCCTTTTACCTTGAGGGTTCCAACTAATGGCTTGTCTTGTAACTCACTTAGGTGCTTTCCGCAGTGTGCGTCTTATCCACTCCCACCGCTTCCTTCTGATTTCCTCCCCCGCTGGAATTTGGTTTGTTCTCTCCCAAATTAGGTTGTTGCTGATGGTGTCTGGCCAACGAATCTGAAGTATTTTGCGTAGACAACTGGTGATAAATACTTGTATCTTGTGGATGATGGTTTTCGTAGTTTTCTGAGTTTTCGCCCCATACAGTAGAACTATCTTGACATTTTTATTGAAAATTCTGATTTTGGTGTTGATTAATATTTGTTTTGAGTTGCAGATGTTGTTCAATTGTAGAAATGTAGTCCTCGCTTTGTCGATTCGTGCCTTTACATCTCCATTGGATTCGCCTTGCTCGTCTATGTAAAGGTGTTAGCGTCCTCCAAGGTATCTCCATCAAGAGTGATTTGGTTGGTGCATGTTGTGTTGTATCGGAGAATTTCGCTTTTTCCTTTATGTATGTTGAGACCTACTGCTGCTACTGAGGCTGCTGTTACACTGGTCGTCTTGTCTTCCATTTGTTGTTGCGTGCAGGAAAAATGTTGCTAGATCATCTGTGAAGTCCAGATCGTTCAGCTGCAACCCAACTGTCCACTGTCTACCGTGCTTCCTTCCGCCTGGAGTCCACCCAGCGCTGCCGCCGGTCCCAAGCCCGGATGAAGGAAGAGTGTTGGGCATGGGGTTGGCGACCCTATCCGATAAAAAAATACGAACTTGCTAAAAAAATGCTAACCAGAAAACAATTCAAACTTATTAACACATTACGCAACCGAAACCTCCGCACACACCCGAGATTCGAAACTTCGGTCTTGCAAACGAACGCTCAATATTTTAGACCTCTTTGTTGTTGTTGATATCTCCAATCAACTAACTATGTTCTCTTTTTATTTCTTGCAATGTATAGAACTTGATTTATCCTCATGTACTGGTGTCACACCATATGGTTTCTCGACATTGGGTCGATTAATTCATTTACACTGGATTTCATTATATCGTACACATATTAATGATAATTGTTTATTGATATTAGCTGAATTATGTCAACATTTGAAACATGTGAATTTAGGCTCATGTATTGATGTTAGTGATATGAATACAGTATTAGAAGAATTGACCAGAAATAATCGGTAAGTAGCAATAATAATAATCATAATATTGTTTACAATTAGATACTTTTAAAATCATTACTCTAAACTACAGTCATATATTACTTACTTACGCCTGTTACTCCCAATGGTGCATATGTCGCCGACCAGCAGCACTCTCCAATCTACTCTATTCTGGGATTTGCTTTCTAGTTTTGTCCAATTACTGTTCACTTTTTTTAATGCCTGCTTACGATTCTTGAAGTAATGAATTTTTCGGTCTCCCTCTTTTCCTTTGGTCTTGAGGATATCAAGTGACGGGCTTGTCTTATGTGTCCTATCCGCATCCAGCGCTTCCTTCGTCTGTTGGTCGAATCTGGTTCGACAGTCATGTATATATATATATATATATTACGAACTCTAAGCTGTATGGTTCGGTTTTTATAGTTTTACTTAGTTTGCATTATAGACTTGTGAAGATTGTTGAGCTGTTACGTGGTTTCAAGAGACCAGGAATAACTTTTCTTGAACTCGCACCGTTTGCATTAGTGGTGCAGTGAAATAAGGAATGTGAGTAGAGTTAGTGGTGGAGATAGGAGAGATATTAGGGGTGTAGGAAGGGTTTGATTTTGATCAATTTGTTCTCGTGTGCTGTCACGGGTATGAGGCCGGTTATCACTTCCCGGCTGCCCACATCGTGGGAGGGGGCTTCTTGAAGAACCTGAAAAAGAAAGTAGATTGGTGTTAGCTCCGTTCTTGAAAGCCCTTAGTCGGCACCCTTACCGGCCGAGACGGAAATCCGTAAGGTAGGGTTAGGTGTGACATTTTTAGGGTTGACCTGTTCTAACCCTTCCTTCCTTGTGAGAAGGCAGCATCACTGCAGATGCTGGTTGTCCGAGGGAAACACCTTACTGCTGTCAGCAGTACGACTTCGCCCTCAGACCTTGGGTAGCTGCTTTTAGTCTCATCGTTCTCCAGTCGACCTGTTTGGCATGGTAGAACCTTGAGGAACATATGTTCCAGCCAGTTTAACTCGGTTGGGTCATGAAGATAGGCAAGCCCGACCACCACGTCAAGGTAGCAGCTTCGGTCGGGAGATTGAGCTACTGTAAAATTATGAACCGATCAATATTAGATCACCGTTAGAAACCTAGGAGCACTGGGAGACGGCCTTCTCATCCTAGTGTGGGACTTGTGAGTTGAAGGATTCATGGATGCGTACTGTCACTGATAAGTCCTACACCAGGACGAGACGGCTATCTCCCAGTGCTCCTAGGTTCGTAACGGTGATCTGATGTTGATCATTTCATGAATTCAAACTAATTGAATGTGGTCATTAGTAGTACAATATTTGGGCCTCTTTCTAATCGCACGACTTTGTCGATGAAATGATCTATTGGATAAAACTATGTTATGTCAACCTTAGTTTTTTGTACAAATTTTTTTAAGGATAAAATGAACACAATGAACAATGCTGACTTTCAATTAGATCTCTGTTTTTGGCTTTTATTTAAATTTTCAAGTACAGTAAGAATTCTATCACTAATAAACTGACTAATAAACAGTGTTTGAAATCATCAATCAATCATTGTTAGACCACCATTAGAAACCTGTAAGAAGCACTGGACGGCCATTTCGTCCTGGTATGGGACTCATCAGTGGCAGTGCGCAGCGACGACTCCTGCACCTCGCAGGATTCGAACGCGGGACCTTCAGTATTGTGCGCGAACGCCTAACCCAATTTGTGCAAACGATCACATAATTGAACACAAATCAAATAAAAAAAATAGTATAAATTGACAGTTAGTTAGTAATAGACAGGTAGAAGAAACAAAAGTAGTGATCTGATCTACTTATAATAGCAATAATAATAATAATAACTGTTTAAAACAAAAGAATTTAAAATTTTAAAATTTAAAACAAAAAAGTACATTGAAACTTGAAAAAAGAAAGTCAATTTTGCTATATAGCAACAGTGGACAAGTTATCTAGTCATGTGTGCGTGTGTTTGTGTGTGTATCTGCGTATGTGTATGAATGATTCGTTGTGAAAGCAAGCAGTGTGACCAATAAATCACAAGATTGGTAAACAAAAGAGAGAGGCCAATAATCAATCTGAAAAATGAATAAGGTCATCTATTCAGTTGGTAGGTAAGAAAAGGATTTTATTATAGGTATATCTTGCATATCTTTCATTACATAAAAATGATGATTGCTAGTGAGAAGACTGAGGCAGGCACGGAAGATTGTATTATGCAAATTGAACACCCTATTTGCACACCATCTTTGAGTCGTGACTTCCAACGCTCCATCCTTCCTTCTTCCATTCCTGTTGTTGCTTCCTTTCCTTCCTCTGTTGGTACTCCATATACTTCTTGCTTTCGCTCTATTTGGTTTCCGTTTTCCTCTTCTGACCGTGAGACTTCTTCTTTCACCTCTCTTCTTACACTACTACTTATATCGTTCGTATAAGTAGCACACACCACACTAGGATTGAATTTCCATAACTCCGACCTCATACTATATAGAAAATCAACTGTAACGAGAACAAATAATATAAAACAATTTAAACTCAACTTCTCTAGGAGTTAGTTGGAAGGCCTTCTTTTAGAAAAGTTGCGAAACTTCATGATAAAAGTCGAGTTTGTTTGATTGAACAGAAGGTGCATCGATTTTGTGGCTAGGGTGTTTTTTCTGTCAAATTGAAACAACGGAAGTTGAATGTTCAAAGCTTAAACCGAGTTGATTTAGGTTGATTAAGGCGGCATTTGACTCACTGGATCGTGAGGTTCTGTGACAGTGTCTGTCATCGAAAGGTGTACCAAAGAAGTACATTAACCTTATACAAGCTCTCTACTCGAACACTACTGGTCGAGTGAGAGCTTATGGCGAACTGTCACCGGAATTCTTCACTTCAAGTGTTGTCCGTCAGGGATGTCCACTCTCCCCATTCTTGTTTAATTTTATCATAGACATGCTCCTAGAAATAACCTTATCGTCGTCTGAATTTTCTGGAGTAGACCTTCTACCAGGTGGCTCGCTTATTAACTTAGAATATGCCGATGACATTGTCCTACTTGGTGAAGACGCTGACAAAGTACACAGAGTCTTCTGACTACCCTAAGCAACAATGCATGCATGTTCGGGATGCGGTTCTCTCCCTCGAAATTCAAAATAATGCTTCAAGATTGGGTTTCATCGGCACCTGAACTAGTGATAGGGAGTGAAGTAGTCGAGCGTGTTGACCGCTTCACTTATTTGGGGAGTCTGATCAGTGCCGATGGCCTGGTGACTGACGAAATCTCAGGTCGGATATAGAATGCTCGATGGGTTTTAGCCAACCTGCGTCACTTATGGCGTAGGCGTGATATCCGTTTACTAACAAAAGAACGAGTGTACTGTGCAGTAGTTCGCTCCGTGTTACTTTATGGCTGTGAAACATGGCCAGTGAGAGTAGATGTTCGTAGGTTACTAGTATTCAATCATAGGTGTATTCGAAGCATTGCTCGTATATCGTGGGACACCCGAGTTAGCAACGCTGTTATTAGGAAACGGGTACTAGGTAAGAATGACAGATCAATCGATAAAGTGGTGAAACTTCATCAGTTGAGGTGGTTGGGACATGTGTTGCGTATGCCTAACCATCGAAAGCCTCAACGAGCTATGTGTGGAGATGTAGGAGTAGGTTGGAAGAAAGTTAGGGGCGGCCAAACCAAAACATAGCACAAATCCATGAAGTCATTGACGAGTGGACTTAGCCATGTTGGTAATTGTCGACTACCTGGTTGGGGTCCGCGAGATGATAATAATCGATGGTTAGAGACCTTGAATGACATGGCTGAAACCGTTCGCAATGGCGCAGGTGTATCCACTGTTTGTGTTCTCTCAAATCGTCATCTTCTGGATTCTTCAACACCTCTAGTTTTGTCTTTCTAAACTTATCTTACTGAATCATACTTCTTGAATAATATCTTCTAATCCTAACCTCTCCGATTACTTCTAATCCCCTTTCTACCTCTTCTATTATTGGATTTGAATTGACAATTATACCTCTGTGTTGATGTGGTATGGCAACATGAAGTGATGTACTTATGTACGAAGTTCTACTTTGCATCTTTCTGACTGAAACCGAGATGATTGTTACGAAATAATTACTTGGGGAATTTGGGGAACCTTCATTCTAAACCGATGTTTCATATGAACTCCAGATCGCTAATTGGAGGATAAATAATGTGCCATCCTATTGTTGATCACGTCGTCTTAGTTTCCCTTACAAAACTGGAAAATCACTAATATTTTAATCCAAATGCTAAATTGAAACGAACAATTTTGATTAAAATATTTGAGTTACTTGCGAGTAGTATAGTTTTATCAGTGTACAAATTCCTATGCCGTACCATGTTGTTGGGAGCCATAGTTTTGCTAATATTATCTAGATCTCGATAGCTGCTCAAATTGTGGAATATAAATCCCAAATGCTTCATTCTTATTTATTATAGCTCGTCAGTTCAATGGCTGTCGGTCATCGATCTATCCCTAAACTGCGTACATTGTTTGTACTGATAACCGTTACTAGATAACACTCAATGGTGTATCAATCAGAAGACGAATATGAAGCGTTGAATGCGTTTATCATTGTACCACACGCAGATCAACAAAACTACAAGCACGCAACTCAAAATGATATGCGAATGCTGAAGAGCGAATGAGCGAATCAAGTAATGACTCAATCGTACCTGCTCATACAAACACGCTAATAAAAAAAGCCAATGGTACAAATAAGTTGTTGCTATACGAATGACTCAGTTAAATAAGTTTATCACGAAGGCTTAACCAAATTAAACCTGAACAAACTCAAATGTATGTGAAGTACTAGAGAGTATTACTTATGCCCAATCACCGACTGTCTACGACCGATGTTTTGTGCTGTAATGGTCGGCTGGAAGAATGTAAGAAGCGATCGAAACGAAAAAATGTCACGAATCCATGAAATCATTGACAACTGGACTGAGCTATATTAGTAGTAGATGTAGACTATCTGCTGCTTGGGGTTTGCATGACAATAGTAACTGATGGTTAGAGAGACCATGAATAACACATGGCTCGAAATCCTTTGCAACGACGGAGGCGCATTCATTCTTTGTCTTCTCTCTGGACATTTTTCTTCTATTTTTAAGTTTATTTCATTGAATTATACCCCTTGGATAACATCTTCAAACCCTAATCTTCTAAATTACGTCCACTACTTGGAGTACTATGAAATTTGAATTGAAAATTCTGTGCTGAATGTAATCGGACAACTTGAACTGATACACATACGTACGAATTGGTACATTGTAACTGTCTAATTGACCGTTAGATATCTTGTTTTCATTTTATCTACATCATTGATTGTATTCTTTTCATGAGGTGGTTGGGACATGTGTTGCGTATGCCCAAACCACCGACTGCCTCGTCGAGCTTTGTTTTGTAGTGTAGGAATAGGTTGAAAGAAAGTTAGGGGCGGCCAAATCAAAACATGGCACAAATCCATGAAGTCATTGACAAGTGGACTGAGTCATGTTGGTAGATGTAGACTACCTGGTTGGGGTCCGCGAGACGAAAGTCATCAATGGTTAGAGACCTTCAATGACATGGCTCAAAATCGTTTGCAATGGCGCCGGTGCATTTATTCTTTATGTTCTCTCAAATGTTAATCTTCTGGATTCTTCAACCCCGCCCCCTAGTTTTGACTTTCTAAACTTTTCTCATTAAATCATACTTTGTGAATAATATCTTCTAATTCTAACCTCTCCGATTACTACGAATACCTTTACTACCTCTTCTACTATTGGATTTGAATTGACAATTACATCTCTGTGTTGATGTGGTATGGTGACATGAACTGATGTACTTACGTACGAAGTTCTTCGCTGCATCTGACTGACTGACTGACTGATTCTTTTCATGATTAGTATTTCATTTATTCAATGTTCAATTATAAAGAGTGTTACTTATTTTTTTTCTTCGTTTGTTTGTTTTCATAGAAATCTACGTTCATTAAATTTATGGCGTTGTAATAGTTTGACTGCTACAGGTTTATCATTTATAACAGAGAATTGTTTACAATTAGAAGAATTAGACATTGGTTGGTGTCGTAATGTTGTACGTACACAAGAATCCAATTGTATTGTTCAATTAGCTAGTCGTGTAAAATATTTGAAAAAATTATTTTTAACTGGTACAAAGTAAGTGAAATGATGATGTTGAGTTTGTATATTACAATAAGTTGTTTGGATTTGTCATTTTCAATGGTGCCATATATACTTACTTACTTACTTACTTATTGTTACGCCTGCACGTAAACATGTCATTTTGATATGTTTGAACTATTACGAGTTTACCTTAGTCGGTAAACGAGAGCGAGGATCGAGGATCCGGCGACACGACATGCTACTCAAATCCGATTATCCCAACCCCATATTGAATAAAAATAAGAAGACTTGACTGTGAAGTAGAACCTGTATTCTACAAGCATACAGAAAGTACGACCTCCGAATCCAGAAGAGAATCAGGACCCCGGACTAGGGATCCGAGACCAGGTCCTGGTCATAGAACGTTTCAGATAATGCGTATTTATACATTTAGGTTGAATAGGAAACAGCATCGAAGTCTGTGACATTGACAGTTAAGACGACCAATAGGAAGCAACATTTGAAGTGACATTGATAGTCAGGACAACCAATAAGAAACAACATTGGAGCACGTGACATTGATATCTAGGACGACCATAAAATTAACCAGTAGGAATTGACCAATAATAATTCTCTTAGGATATTGGATGAATATCCTAACACTTATGGTTACTCACTAATCCATCAAGTTTTCAAAAGCTGCAATGATAGTAGATAGTATTCTTGGTTGATTTTTTTAAAATTATTCTCGCCTTCAAATACCCCTGGTACAGCCGTCAACGGGGGGGTTCGCTCTCCATCTCTCTTTAAACACTCTCATATAGTCATGCCTGTATACCCATTACTACAGAAGTTCTGTTCACTACTTTCTTATCGTGGCAGTGCTGTTAACTAAATTGATAAGATGTAAAGCGTGTATCCAATCGGGCTGATGTCAGTCATTCAGTCATTTACAACGTAGAACTTCGTACATACGTACATACCGCATTATCACAGAGACGCAACTTTTAGTTCAAATCCAATAGTAGTAGAGGTATTAGTAGTATTAGCGGTTGTGGAGAAGATTAGGGTTCAAAGATATGATTCGAGAAGTACAATTCAGTGAGATAACTTTAGAAAGAGAAAGATAGAGGTGATGTGTACGGAAGATCTACCTGAGGGAGTTGGAAAACCTTAACTCCTCCAAACCACTGGAGTACATGGACTCCAGGATGTTGATAGACCGAATGGAGTACAAACCTATTGTGTTGATCATCGGTCATAATGAGACTATATCTATTGACATTATTCCACGCTGTACACTGTCCTATGGTATTAGATGTAGTAAAAGTATTAGCAGTTCCAAAATATTATTCCAAAAGTATGAGCAAGTGATATAAACTTAAAAAGAGATGAGTAAACGTCTTGAACTAACGAAGTCGTCAGAAATCACACTTCAAAGTTATGACTCCGTAAGAAGCTCACCTATTTCGATTTGAGCATCCCAATTCGCTTATAAATTTATGGATTTCCATAAGTCAAACACTGATATGTTCGTCACTAGGTAGGTACGCTTGAAGCTATTACGAGTTCACCTTAGTCGATAAAACGCGAACGAAACAATTACCAGCGTCCAGGTAGGCTAACTTGAATACCAAGCTGAAGATAGAAGGCTTTGTAAGCGTAGAAAGTATATTCTACAAACACGCAGCAATCACAACACAATACAATCAAGCATATAACTCTCGTTTATTTATACATCATAGAAAACGTCCTTGGGACAGTCACAAAAATAGCACACTAAAATACACACACAGCAGCCAATCACAGCCATGGATTTTCCTGGTGGATGGGAAATGAAATCTCAAGGTCAACTGATCAGCCCATGCTGGCAAACGTGAAATCCAAAATAAGGCATTTTTTTATCAAGCGAGTTTTGGATGGAGATCTAACATCCCCAACAAACACTCAGTAATTTACTTTTTTTTATTGAATATTTTTTCATTTTCATTTATCGACAAAATCATCATAATTACAATACTTACTGTTTACCTTTTTTTTTTAATTTTATTTCTCCAGTTTACTTAATTCCGAAGAACTTTTACTAGTTAGTCAACACTTACATTCAACTTTAGAACAATTCGATATACATGGTTCAACCAGCATCACCATAGCTGCAATTGTCACCCTATTAAATCAATGTAAACAATTAAAACTGTTGGATATTTCATTTTGTCCAGAAATTCATTCGATTAACTTGATGAAATTACGTTATTTATTTCCATTCTGCACTATTATCGATTCCATACCGGATATGAATGCAGAACTGTTGGGCAATAATCAATATCCGGAAATGATTATTGATGAGGTGGATGATGACGACGACGGCGAAGATGACATTGATGTTGATGATGCAGGCGATAATGATGATGACGGCGCCGGCGATCATATTATAAATGATGGTGGTATGAATGCAGGCGATTTGTTTCAATTTCCACGAAGACCATTAGCTTTGCCTGCACCAGATCCATAATGATAATAATGCCGCTGTTGTGTGTATTTGTGTACGTGCGTATCTGTGTACAAAAGAAAGATAGTAGTAACATGACCTGCCTCATAGGTGATTTATTTATCTTAATTTTTTCGCTTTTGTTTTCTTCAGCGTCTTTTAATTTGTATATTTTCTTATTTTCAAAATTCTTGCTTTAATTATTTATGTTGTGGTGCATTTTGCATATACATGTAAAAATCAATAGTGTGTGTGTGTATGTGTGTATATGCGTGTTTATTTATTTGTAGTTTTTGTTTTCACTAATTGTATGTACGACAGAGATAGACAGACCTATTGTAAACACTAACATTGTGCAGGGAAACAATGTAAAATTGAATCACGCCTTTCATTTCACTATGCACTCGTTTTTTTCTGTTTTAAACAATCCTGTTTAAGTGTGAGGGTGGGGTGTCGTCTATTCAATTGATGAGTGGATTCTGAGTCGTAACATGATGATGATTTCGTGAATTTATGCCATGTTTTGGTTTGGCCACCCTCGTAGCTTTCTTCTTGCAGCCTACCCGCCGTTTACACCATAAAACATAGCTCCTCGTGGTAGTCGATGGCTGGACTCATGTTCCAACTACATCAACTGATGAAGATTCACTACTTCATCAACTGACTTGCCATCTATACCTAGTACTCATTTCCTAACGACAGCATCGCTTGCTCAGTTGTCCCAGGATACAATGCTTCGAAGATATCTATACCTACAAATGTCCTCTACTTTTACTGGTCATGTTATGCACCGCCATATAGTTGGACAGAGCGAAGTGATGCGCAGTACACTCGTCTTTTGATTAGCAAACGGATATCTTACCTACGCCATGATGAAGCGGTCGACGCGCTCAGCTACTTCACTCCCTATCATTAATTAATTCACATGCGGATGCTGCAACCCTATCTTGAGGTAATGTTTTGCATTTCGATTAGGAGAATCGCATTTTCAACGAACGACTTTCATTGTTGCTTAAGGTTTTTAGAAGACTGCATTTTGTAAGCATCTTCACGTAATAGAACTATTTCATCGGCATATTTTAAGTCGACAAGTGAATCTTCTGGTAGAAGGTCCACTCCTGAAAATTCAGACGAAGATAATGTTATATCTAGCAGCATATCTACGACAAAGTTAAACACAAATGAATATCGCTGACGGACACCACTTGAAGAAACCAATTCCGATGACAGTTCGCCATAAACTCTAACTCGACATGTAGTGTTCGAGTAGAGAGCTTTGTTAAGGTACACCTTTCAATGAAAGGCATTGCCCCAGAATCTTACGAGTCAAAGGCTGTCTTAAGGTCCAGGAATACAACTATTCTCAGTGTAATATGCTCTTTGATATCCCTCTTTTCCATTTGCTCTAAAGATTTCCAACTAAGGCTTGCCTTTTGACGCAGTTGAATAATTTCCGCAATTTATATCCTATTCTACTAGGATTACCACTGCCGGACCCAAGTTCGAATAAAATAGGAGACTTGGGTAGAGTAGTCAGTCAGGTGCAACGTAGAACTTCGTACGTAAGTACATCAGTTCATGTCGCCATACCACATCAGCACAGAGATATAATTGTCAATTCAAATCCAATAGTAGAAGAGGTAGTAAAGGTATTAGAAGTAATCGGAGAGATTACGATTAGAAGATATTATTCAAGAAGTATGATTCAGTGAGAAAAGTTTAGAAATTAAAAACTAGAGGTGTTGAAGAATCCAGAAGATTAGGATTTGAGAGAACACAAAGAATAAATGCACCGCCACCATTGCAAACGCTTTTGAGCCATGTCATTCAGGGTATCTAACCATCGATTATTGTCATCTCGCGGACCCCAACTAGGTAGTCGACAACTACCGACATGGCTCAGTCCACTCGTCAATGACTTCATGGATTTATGCCATGTTTTGGTTTGGCCGCCCCTAACTTTCTTCCAACCTACTCATACACTACAAAACAAAGCTCTTTGAGGCAGTCGGTGGTTAGCCATACGCAACACATGTCCCAACCACCTCAACTGATGAAGTTTTATTACTTCATCTATTGATCTACCATTCTTACCTAGCACCCGATTCCTAATAACAGCGTTGCTCACTCGATTATCCCACGATATACGAGCAATGTTTCGAAGACACCTATGATCGAATACCAACAACCTACGAATATCTTCTACTCTCATTGGCCATGTTTCACAGCCATAAAGTAAGACGGAGCGAACTACTGCGCAGTAGTATACAATGGAAAACCTCAAGTCGGAGAAACGCAACTATAATCCGTAGTGATGTTGTACTTTTAATCAAATAAAAAAAACTCTCATACTAATATAATGAATATCGGTATTTTTATCATGACGGCGACACAAAATCATTACACATCATAAAACATGTAATACAGAGTGATATATTCGACATTTTTAGCTATCATCAATGAAATGATTAGCAAAAAAATTAAAGTTATCATTATAATCATAAATCATACTATGAATAATGTTACGCTAAACACACAAATTTTTAGTAATAATAATAATATATAGTGAATATTAATTAACCAATACACACACACACACACAATGTGATCAATTGAATTCAAATTGATATTTGATTGTCGTTGTTCAACGAATAAAACTTTTCATTGGAAGAATTGTGTAAATGTGTCAATCAGAAATGCAAATTATGTGTGAGCGGTGATGTCGATTAAAACACTACATATAAGTAGTATAATCATAAAAACTAAAATATTATTAGTACCACTACTACCAATGAATGAATGAATATAATGATTATTAGATGCAGAATAGAATAAAATGACGACAAGAGAGAGAAAACAAAACGTGAAAAGATGATCTGAATACAATCAGAAAAAAAAGTGATCCATTGAAATGCAGTTCGTTCAGTATTATGATGATGATAAAAAAGAAAGTCAGCTGTGTTTGTGTTTGTGGGTGTGTGTATGTTCTCCACATGAGGAATAAAACAGAACAGCATCAAATTATCAATTGATTCAGTGTGTTTTTTCAAGCATGATGACAAAACTTGACCAGAGAGATTTACGAACAGAACATGATGACATCACGTAGCACAGACACAGGATGATGATCACGTAAGGATGAGATTGTGGCATCTTCCAAAAGAACATCGACAATTTCACAATCTGACGAAGTATCTGAAACAATAATAATAATCATATACAAAATTATATACATATTATATATACGATCAAAATAAATTTCAACTCTCTTTACAATTAGATCTGTGAATCGATGAACGCATTAAAATGATCACAATTAGTGTCATTGATCATTCTAGATTTTTACACTGATCTTTGCCGCTTTGCGCTTGGTCAACTATAGTGTCTAGTTTTACTTGTCACAAGGTAACATTTTATTGTTATAGTATATATATTATATAGAAGGGATTGTTTTAAATATGATGTTTCGCCAATCATCATCTGATGAGATATTTTCTTATATCCCAATCATATTGTCAGATTATATTGTGGTGCGAGCTACTTATAAGTAGTATGATTGTATTGGTGGATGGTGGTCAACGTAATGTCTGGGCAGCAGAGCAAATGGGGGAGAGATCAAGAAAGGAAGAGTTAGTGGGGGGGGCTAGAAAAGCCAATGGAATTTGTATGAAACCGCATGAAATAGTGGACAATAGGATTTGATTGTTTGGCACACAGGAACAGTCCAGTTCGATATGATGACTGATATTTTGCAAATTAAGCGATATTGGGTTGTCCTCTATGTTTACTGGAGGTACTCTGTAATTTTCGTTAGATACAATCCGGTTGCCCCACCTGTGTTCTCGTTCACTACAATATTACTGAAGTATTATAGTATCGATCATTTGAGTTATTGAGTTCGCATTGAATCCCCATAGTCTTACATTACTTACTTTTCCCTGATAGCCTCAATGAACCGTAGTCCGCCGACCACCGTTCCTCCAACCTACTCAGTCCTGGGCCTTCCCTTTTCAGTTTTGTACAACTGCTGTTCATTCTTCTCAGGTCCGTCTTCATTTCCCGACATTATGTTTTCGTTGGTGTTGTTTTTTTTCCTTTGACATTGAGGATTCCAAGTGAGGGCTTGTCTTGTGAGGCAGTTGGGTGCTTTCCTGAATGTCTATCCTATCCACTGCCAGCACTTCTTCCTGATTTCTTCCTCCGTTGGAGGAAGCTGGTTTGTTCACTGCTACAATAGGTTGTTGATGTTGTCTGGCCAACTGATCCGTAGTACTTTGTGTAGACAAATCCCTATTGTTTGTTTGAAGTGAAACAGTACTAGACTTGAGTGCCCCAAGGGAACAATAACTCTGTGGTATAGCAGGTATATGGAGCTGACTAGTCCTAAATAGAGCAAACCATCAGTCGTGGATTCTGCTGTCAGCCACTAACCTCACATCTGCTAATAATAATGCTGGTGACTTAGTGCCTATATCGAGGCGATCCGAACATGATGAACATATATATATATATATATATATATATATATATATATATATATATATATATATAATAATGATAGTTTCAATTGTCTTACGGGGTTGTGAAGATTGTTAAGTTACACATGTTTGAAACCAGAATCGATCAATGTTAGAACCACCATTAGAAACCTGGAAGCACGGACCGGCCCGTTCGTCCTGTATATGGACTCCATCAGCAGTGCGCATCCACGACTCCTCACACCCCCGCAGGATATCGAACCCAGGACATTTCGGTATTGTGCGCGAACGCCTAGCCATGTCGGACCACTGAGCCGGTATCTAACGGTGTGTTAATGTCTAACGTTGATCATATTCACGGAGGTTGCTCGCAACCTCATACACAGTCTTCGGTAGTTTACTTGTCTACATCCGAACAGGTTGTGAATTTTCACTGGTCACGTCTTCCCACTAGAACTCGGAGAAGATTCCTCACGAAGCTAGTCACTAGTGAGCACAGGTAAGTTTTCATAACAGGGGTTGTGAAGATTGTTAAGTTACACCACATTTTTGAAACCATTGTCTACAAAGTAACAAAACTGACAA